CGGTTCAGGAAGTCCGGGGTGAGCACCGTGTCTGGCCCGGCCAGCAGGAACAGCGTGTCCAGTGGGTGCTTCTTGGAGAGCAGATCCATGAGGCGCAGCGGTGAGGGTGTGGCTGTCTGCACGCTGAGCCAGGGCACCCGGGCACCGGGGAAACGCCGCTCCAGCTCTGCCACACGGGCCTTGACAGGTGCAAAGACATCGGCGTGGGCCGCCCGCTGGGCCTGTCGTGGCTCATACAGTAGCAGCAGGGTCAGGGTTGCCGCAGAATCGCCAGGCTCCAGTGCGGCCACGGCGAAGGCCTCCAGGAAGCCAGGGGCCAGGTCACACTCGGCTGCAGCCAGTGGCAGTAACACGGTGAGACGCGAGGCCTCGGTGACATAGGGCACGGGCAAGATCTCCACGCGACTCAGTGGCCGTAGCAGCTGCACTCGGCGGGTGAGGGGCCGGCGGCCACCCTGCGGGGTCAATGCCTCTAGCTGCAAGTCCAGCGTGTACTCCATACCCCGGGCAGGATCGAAGCGTCGGTAGCCGTTAACCAGCTGCTGCTTCTGGAGCCGCAGGGCCGGGTGGTACCGGCGGTTGAGCTCCTCCAGGGCTGCCCCCAGAATGTCGGCCACATCAGCCTGGTCAGCCCCACGCAGTGGGCAGCGGGGCGAGCCATCAGCGCAGGAGAAAGCATGCTGTTCTGTGAAATAGTCCCAGCGCAGCACCTCAAAGCGGGAGGCCGGGCGGGACGGTGCTGGAATGCCCACGGGCCAGGTGGCTGCCCACTCCCCATCCGCTGCCAGACGGCTGGTGTTCTGGATCTCCCACTGGGTTGGAGGAACAGGCCATGAGCGAGGCATAGATCACAGGGGCCAGCACACAGCTGGGGGGCTGGGCAGGCAGAAGGTGCCACTCAGGACAGGTTCCCAGTCCCTTGCCAACCTCTGCCCACCCAGGGCCCCCCCTGATTCTTTCCCCAGATGGAGGCAGCCTAAGAGTTAAATGGGGGTCTCTGGAGAGGCTCCAGAGAAAAGGTAGAAGCAGACAGGGACTGGGAAGCAGGTTTGTTCTGTGATTCTTGTGCTAATTTTGTATTTCCCTGGGATCTCTGAGACCTCTCAGGATGCCCTCACCCCCCCACCTCCAGCCCAGACCATACCTGTAACTCCTGGATCTCCTGGTATGTGTGTTCCAGTTCAGCTCGGGCAAAAGCCTTGTGCAGCTGGTACATGTGCACAGGGTCACGGACAGGGTGAGCTGTCAGGGCACTGCGGAAACGAGGGTCCCCCTCCTGCACAGGCTCCCCAGGGCTCAGCTCCAGGTAGCTATAGTGGACTCCCTGGGGAGAGGAAGGGAAGTGGGAAACATAAGGGGACAGTCGCCCCCCCACCCCACCCCACCCCGTAGTTTGTGTCTCATCCCTCTAACCTATGACCTGTTGTGGACTTGGGGTCAGAATTCTGTGGGCTTCAGTCTACCTTGACCAGTTGTGAGCTTGTGTGACCTTGAGCAAGCCTCTGCTAGCTCATCTGTGAAACGGGCATGCATCCTACCTCAGAGCTGTCCAGGGGCTCAAATAAAATAATAATGGCCAACACCAAACACCTACTATGTGCAAGGCTCCCTTATTTTTTCTAATCCTTATAACAACCCTGAGAAAAAATTATTTCCATTGGTATGGATGAGGATACCGAGGCTCAGGAGATTCAGTAATTTACCCAAGGTCACAGGGATAGAAGATGACAGAACTGCATGGAAACCCAGGCCCATATCTCCAACCACCCCCTCTGCCTCTCAGGGAGAAGTGCACACGCCCAGACAAGAGGCACCAGTGGGGTGGCTTATCTTCCTACCTCGTGGCCGCCAGTGCAGCCCACCCCGGTGGCATCGAGGATGCAGCGGCCCAGCCACTCATCCGGGTGCGCACTGACGATGTCGTTGCGGCAGGCTTCCAGGTGGGGGCGCAGCTGCTGCAGCAGCGTGCGTGACAGCAGCACCCCAAAGCCACCGTGGCAGTAGCGGCCTGGGGCGGGCTCTCCACTGATGAAGTCCTGGGGCCGGCCCAGATAGAGGTGGGCAGCAGCCGCCAGGCTGAGGTGGCCAGCTAGGCGAGCCAGTCCGTGCGCCTCCGTGTAGGTGGCATCGGGCACTAGGAAGAACCAGTCAAAGTCGTTGCCATGCTGCTCCAGCAGGTGGCGCAGTGCCAGGTGCAGGTGCCCGATGGGCCGCTCCTCGCCTAGCGTCACCACGGCCATCCCCGATGGTGCCCGGCGGCCCCGCGAGCCTGTCAGGAACACCACACGCTCTAGCCGGTGCCCCAGCGTGCGGTTCACAGCCACGCCCAGTGTGGGCAACGTGGCCTGTGAGGTCAGCACCGCCACGAGCAGCCTCTGCCTGATGCCCAGCTCTGTGCTGATGTAGCGGGTCCTGGGGGTGGGGGAAGAAGATGGCACAAGGTTACTAAAAAGACAACAGGGCAGGTAGAGGGCAGCATACACAGGCTCTGGCAGGTCATGTCCTCTTTGGGCCTGTTTCATTTATGATAGAATAACAACTCTCCCCCAGGGATCACGAGTATTTAAATGAAATACTGGCCTTACCATAGTGCTTTTGGGAGATGGCATTATCCATGCAGATATGAGAGATATATTTGGGGTCTGATTCCCTGTTTCATTACTTAGTGGCTGAGTCCTTGAGCAAGTTATTAAACCCATCCGAGTCTTGGGTAGCCTCATCTGTAAAATGGGGCTGATTGTATCTCTTTAAAGCACTTAGCTAAATGCTTGGCATATAGGTGCTCCGCACATCATGTATACACTAATTTCTAAATAATATGCCATTATACCACAAATACATCACATAAATGAAATAACAGAATAAACGGCATAGAGATGTAGTGAATGTGTTTGGGGGGGTGGTCAGGGGTTCCAGTAACTTACCTTCCGTAACACAGAAGGTAAGTTGCAGAACTGGAATTTGAACTCGGTGTTACTTCGGAGAAATTATTTCAACTCATAGGCAGAGAG